ATATTAAACACAAGTATTCCAGTGAACAAGTTAGAGGTGCACTGCCTTACATGACCCAGCCTTGGAAGTTACACAGCGTCACTTCTCTATACTCTCTGAAGAAGATAATAAGGACAGAAGATAGTGCTGTGGCTCTTTTTGGAAAATAAAATTCTCTACACCAGCTTACCAAGAAAAAAATATGGTGAAAAAACCAAAGTGCTACTGGCAACATACATAATGACAGGAGGAAGAACTAATGGCTGCAACACATGTATTTATCTTAGCTGAAATATATCTGCCCTTAAACTTGATCTTGACAGAACCCAAGTGATTCATTGGCAACTTCACTGCCTACCGGAACAAAAATTAAAAATCTTGAGAGGAAGATAACATAACCCAAAGCTACTGTAATGTACATCCACAATAACTACCATTACATTTTTCTTTTCTACTTTAAATAATCTCAAAGGATAACTTATTAAATTCATAAGCCATACATAAGCTTCATACATGTAATTTTTAAGTAGCTTTGCTATCATTCACTTATAAAATTCACCTTTTTCAAGTGTATAATTCAATGGGTTGTAGTATATTCACAGAGTTGTACCACCAATATCACCATTTAACTTCAGAACATTTTCATCACCCCAAAGAGATACTCCATATCCATCACTAGCCACTTCTCATCCCCATCTCCCCTTAGGTAGCCTAGGTAATCAAAACAAAAGTACTATGTTTGTAATGAGTCAACTTTGCTCTGCTGTACTATGCTTTCTATAATTTCTTCCTTTCATGTTTGCCTAAGTTCCCTGGCCAACTATACCAAATGTCTTTCAGGAATCGGCTCACTGGTCATGTTTTTGTAAACCTTTTTCAACCGGTTCCTCAATTCCAGGAAGTTAGACACACTGTCCTCTGTGGTCTAAAACACATACTATATACCTTTATTACAATCCACTTGTAATGGAAATATCTAAAGAACTGGAATTTGACTTACTCATTATTCCATCTACTATATTTAATAGTGACATCCAAAATGTTTGAATGAATGCACCATACAGAATAATGTACCATTATAAAGGATGATTTAGTTGTAAGAAGATATTCAGAGATATCGATGTACTCAAGGACAAAACTGAAATAAGTATTGTGCTATGGAAAAGCACTATGATCATATTAGCTTTAGTCAATGATTGACCACTTTATGATTAATAAATTATAAGAAAACTAAAAAATATATGAAATCCATACTTAAGATCTCACACTAAGATGTTAATGTATCAGAGCCAAAAGGGAGTATCTATTAAAATCTTAACTAAGGTTATATTGTGACATCAATACAAAAAAAAAATTCTAAGTCAAATATAGAAAAAAATTAAATATGGAAACTTAAAAAATACTGAGAATTATATCCTAACTATAAACCAAGTAAATTTTTAAAATCAAGATACATAATTTTTTAAAATCCAGCATTCTTATTTTGAGAATAAGAATACAGAAATACTTTTAAACATAAGAGAAAACTGTAATAAGTGTTTAAGTTGAGTACAGACTATCTTTGGTTGAGAAAAATTTTTTAGTGAATTCAATTTTTTATCACAATATGCACATGGCACGATTTTTCAAAGTTGTATTACCCTTTTAAAACACATATAAACATATGCACTTTCAGACTTTAGAGATGTATATGAAAAAGTATTTTATTATGAAAAAATTTAAAGTCAAAACATTGAATATACAAAACAAAAATAATTTCCCTTAGGTGTATACAAAATTCAGCAACAATATAACAAGTTATTAAAGTGATATTATTTCAATGTTCTTATTAAATTCAGAAAAAGTTACATTATGCTACTATACATAGATGAAAAAAAATTTTTTTAATCAGACACTGAAATTTAACAAACTTAGTATCTCGTACAGAAAAATTTAGAATCAAAGTGATCACACCAGGAAAATACAAGTGGCTAAATAATTTGTCTTTATATAACAGTTTGGAGTGTTTTTTATTTCATATCAACATATAGCCTTGAAAAATACAGTATATTTGACTATCTTAAAAAACACATATCGATAATCATAATTGTTTTCACTAATTAATACTTTTTCCATTTTTATAAACCACTTTTACGAGTTTGAAAAATATTCTTTATATGAACAAAATTAGAAAAATTTAAAAAGCAAAATTTCACAATCCTAAATTTTAAAATATTTTAATCTAAGAAATTAAATGTTCTACTGCTCTTTAAATTTTTAATCAATAGTGTCTTGCCAACATCTATAAAATAACAAATTCTGCTAACTTAAATAAATACAACTGGCTTCAAGGTAGAAAAAGGCATTATTCTAATATTGACTATTATTACCTATAAAATATAATGAAACTTAATCCTAAGGAAACATAAATCCTAAAATAAGCATGCTATTTTTTGTTTGTTGTTATCTGAAAGTACTCTGAATGAAACTATATTACTATACATACTCATGTCATAATTTTAGAGTATAATAAAATAGCTAATGTAGGGCAAAATAATGTAACTTCGTAACAAAAAAATGAAAACAAAAGTTAGTTTTAAATTAAGAACTATTTATCTTAAAGGAAAGAAACCTAATTTAATCATATCTTTAGCTACTTTCTGTATTAGACTTTTGTCCAAATAAGAAAAATAAATAAATTAGGAATTAATTGGAATATAGACTTGTAAAAATATCACTTTGTACGGCATCTAATAATTTAAACACTGCAAATAAATTTGTGAAGTGTCATTTCTGGTCATTTCCAAACATAAAATATTATACATGAAGACATAACTAAAGTTAAAAACACCGAAAGCTAAAGGGAATGAAGCTTTTCCTGATTAATTGGTACTAAACAATTCATTACTACTACTTTGTCTTACTTTGGCGTTCAAATTCATTTCTTTTTTAACTAACAAACTCATTAACTTTACCATATTTTGTGGTACCAAAGCAAAAAACAAAAGCAACCCAGTGATACAACAGTCACAGAATTTGTGTAAAGTGAGTTATTTTTCCAATAGAAGCACTCTTCTAAATTGTAGAACATAATCTTCAATATCTGGTGAGCATGGAGGAAAATGACAGAAAAGTATTCAAAGAAATTAGACTACAAAAACTAAATGCTAAATTCTCTTCTAAAATAACCACAAACTAGAGATTAACTTGTAATATGAAAAATATACACAATGTATATTTTTTTAAAAAAGGTATTTCTGGAAATTATTTCCTAACCCCAAAATAAAATGACAACAATATCAACATATTCAATATACATGCCCATGGATGGATCTTGAGAATATCATGCCAAAGGAAATAAGTCAGAAGGAAAAAGTCAAGAACCATAGGATTTCACTCATATGTGGTATAAAACTGAAAGCAACAGACAAAAAAACAAAAACTCATAGACACAGACAACAGTATAGGGGTTACCAGAGGGTAAGGGAGGTGCGAGGGAGGTAGAAAAGAGTAAAAGGGGTCAAGAATATGGTGAGAGAAGGAGACTTGGCTTTGGATGGTGAACATACAATGCAATACACATATGATGTACTATAGAAGTGAATACTTGAAATATAATTTTATTAACCAGTGTCACTCCAATATATATACATATATACATGTACAAATAATGATAAAACTGACTGTCCTAGCTACATTATGAAATTTCTAAGTTTTCCCAAATAATCTTTAAATCATCTGCTCTCTAGTTCTTCAAAACTATTTGGCTTACACTGACTATTAAGTATACTTGTGTAATTTTGACTGTCTTTACACCAAAACAATACTCATAATTTGCTCAATATTTACTTGCAAAATAAATTCCAATTCACAGGTAAATGCACTAACAAAACATCTACCCTCTACTACTAGTAGTGTTCTTGAATGTCACAAATATCCACGATGAACCAAAAATGTAAAAACAAATTAAAAACAGATAAAAAAGAAAAATACCATGGTATGAGCTAAAGAGAGGATGGGATTAAACTGATTTCTATATGCTTTTAATAAACATCAGTCACCTATAATTATAATATAAACACCTGTATTCTCCAGGGAATATAGTTATACAGCATTAACTCTCCATGCATTATCCATGATTGCAATTATGACTCTACAAAGTAGCAACTAAAACAAATCCTTTAGTTAGGAAAGACACCTGAAAAATATCGGAAGGTAATGGTAAAATGATATATAATGACTGTGAAACCACATGCAAAGAATAGTTTATCGAATAAAATGTTTTCTAAATACAGTTAACAAATTGTTGGTTAAGTGCACCACCCCTCCGCTGTTAACTTTTGACTCCTCCAAAACTTTACAGTCCCTCAGTATCCACAGGGGATTGGTTCCAGAACCTCACTCCCCCTCTAAATACCAAAACCCATGGATGCTCAAGTCCCATACATAAAATGGCATGGAACAATGCACACGGTCAGCCCACCGCATTAAAAGATTCTCAATCTCAGATCAAAAATACTGTTTTCGATCTGCAGTTGTTTGAATCCAAAGATGTAAAACCTGGGGATCCCAAGGACCAATTTGAAAAAAATTGAAAAACATCCACGTATAAGCAGACACATGCAGTTCAAACCTGTGTTATTCAAGGGTCAACTGTACTTTATGGGCGAGCCACATTTCCTAAGTAACTTTTTTTTCAAATCAAGTCACAATTCTTGGTCACGTAAAATTTCTGTAGCATTCTAATAATAGTCTCCTTGGGAAATAATCTGAACAATCTAGATTCCTTTAATGTGCTTTAGTATTAAAATTTGTCCTATGCTTACCACTTTTATTATGTAGCTGGAGCATCTAAAACAAAACAGTAATTACTGGGTAGCCTATGTCTCATTTTTGCCAAACTGATGCATAAATGATCTGAGCTTTCATCTCCCTCTACTGAAAAACAAGCAAAAATTAATGAGTATGTTGCACTATAATTTTCATAGCATTATGTTTAAGAATCACTCAAGACTGTATTTTGAAAATTCCTAATACAAATAAAATTTCTTTTTACTTGATTTCTGAAAGTCACAATATAAAAGGTAAAGAATGAAACATGGCACAAATTACATGTAAACTAAAACATATGCATATAATTATATATGTAGTTTAACAAATAAAAACATATTTTCTTAAACAATTAATAATATGTATCCACTTCGGAAAAATACATATAACCTATTCTAGTCTTTATTTAAAACTATAATTGTTTCTTACTCATAAATCCTATCTTCAAAATAGAAATTTAACCATTAATCTAACCATTACACTGCAAATGTGTGTATGTGTATTTATGTATACGTGTATTTATGTATACATTGTCCTAAAAATTTCAGTTTCTCGCAGAGCAGCATCAGAAATTTAAGTTACTGTTTCACAAAATATTTTCAAAACAAATTTAGTAGCTTTCTTATGATGATTACTGATATTTCTCACAGTGAGCATTTATGTATCAGGCACTAGTGAAAATGCTTTACATGCTGTAATTTATTTAAATCCTCACGACCAGCCGAGGGAGTAGTTATTATGATGATCTACATTTTATAGATGAAGAAACTAAGGTCCAGATAGGTTAAAAAGCGTTTACTACCATGCTAGATTCAATGCTACTGATTCATACAGCAGTATCCCTAACTACTCTTATATTTTCAAAATTCATTCTGACATTTTACACACCTGTCAGCCATTCCCCTTTGGATGTCTAGATATTGCCTCAAATTTAAGATATCAGATAAAACTCTTCTTGAAAACTGGGTTGCCATTCCAGATTTGTTTCGAAACTGACTTCCAGTTGAACAAGCAACTGCAGGAAGGTAGCACATATCAACATCAGGTACTGTCTCATGTGCAAAGATTGACTAGATATTTTTTTACTCTTTTAAAAAAGTTTTACATTCCGTAGTTCTCATAATGATCTGTTCAAGGACTTCCAGAGAAGAATGAACAAGCAAGCAATCAACCAACATCAACAAATACCTTCAAAACCTTCTGAAAAAAAGACTCAGAACTCTTGTTTTTGAGAAAAATCTACGAATAAAAACAATTACTTTCAATAATTATATATCAATATGTTATAGTAGGCTGAAACTATAGGAAAGTTAAGCCAATTTTATAAATGTAAGGACAGCAACTTCCATAATTAAAACAATACCTGGGCAAGATAAAATAAGTGCATTATTTTTCTAGGACATTTCAAACGCAAGAACATTTTTTACTACTCTATTTACTCTAAATTAAGTTAAGCACAGAATTACTGTGACTCTGTATGTATAGTATGAACTCCAAATACAGGAGGGACAGAGTCTAAGAGTTTTCACGCTTAAAATCCAGAACTATTTTCTCTCACAAAATAATTCAGAAAGTTATCCACCAAACCCTCTAAAACAGTGTTTCTCAACTTTGACTGTGTATCATCTAGGGGAGTTTAAGTCCTAATGGTGAGACCACAGCCTGACCAGTTAAAATAGAACCTAAAAGTGAGACCTAGGCATCGAATTTTTGAAAATTTCCTTTCTTAATTACAATGTAAAGCTCAGGCTGAAAAGCACTACTGTGGAGCCCCTTTTCCAAAATTTTTAATAGGTGAAACGGTTTTAAGTATTGACGTCTTCAACCGAGAAGAACCACTAAAAACCATGTTGCCCTATACATGGAGCACCTGCAGGCTGTAACGACAGCAAACAGCCATGGTTACTACCACCCTTGGAGGAGTAAGAGGTAGTAGGAGATTGGATAGTATTCAAGGCTCTTAAACCAGTTTTTTGATATTTTCTTATTTAAAGAAAAAAGTGGCTACAACAGCAAGTATATTGGTTGATTTTCAGACCACAAAACTATGTTACTTATGTTGTCTCAAAGTTATGATTTTTCCTTAAATGAGACTTCAAAAAAATCTTTTTAGAAGTATAATGTAATGTTTGCTTCTCTGCTCTTGCAACAGCTACTTTCACTTTAATTCACTTATTGATTCACTGTGTGCTGGAAATGAAGGAGGTGGGATGGAGGTGGGGGCCAAAAGTGAACTCTTAAAGAATTTTATGGGAAAAACATAAAGAAGGTAGAAATATACACAGGTAAAGAAACAATCTAAGAAATAACAAGTACCAAAATGTATGCGCTGATGGCCAAAAGTTTATAGAAAACTCTTTTTCAAATAATCTACTTTTCGAAAGGCAGTATAAATAATGAATAAAAGCAGACTTTGGAGTTGGAGACATCTGAGTTTAAAATCTCACTTCCTTACTTACCAACTTTATATCCATGGGTAAAATTTACTGAATTTCCCTGGGCCTCATCCATAAAATGATAACTTTTGGGGGGGGAGGAGGAATTCTTCCAATTCCTGATGCTCACGGGTGAGGCACTCTCCTACTACAACACTCCTCTATTCTCTTTGCTCCCTTACTCACCAGGAGTAGGGACAATCTGATTGGTCCATTTAGGAAAAAAAAAAGGTATGTTAGATTAGCCTCTTCCTCTGCCCTCCCTTACCTTTTGGAGATGACTACACCTCAAGCTGTAAGTTTTGGGTAGGCCCCTTGTGTGAAGGTCTCCTCTGTGCCCATGTGGGTGAGTCTAAATTAATGAATGGTTCAGTATTTTTTCAGTTACAGCTGACATTCAATATTATATTAGTTTCAGGTACACAGCATAGTGATTAGACATTTACATAACTTATAAAGTGTATAAGTGATAAATCTAGTACCCCCAATACCATACCTAGCTACTACAGTGTTACTGACTATATTCCTATGCTGTACTTTACAACCCCGTGACTATTTTACAACTGCCAATTTGTACTTAATCTCTCCACCTTTTTTCACCCAGCCCCCCAATCTCCCACCTGGCAACCATCAATTTGTTCTCTGTATCTATGAGTTTATGTTGTTTGTTCATTTATTTTGTTTTTTAGATTCCACATGTAAGTGAAATCATATTTTAAAAAGAATGAAATCTTACCATTTGTGATAACATGGACAAATCTAGAGAGTATTATGCTAAGTGAAATGCCAGACAAGAGAAAGATAAATGATTCAGTACTGATATACCTATTTGCTCGTGGATATAAGCCATATTCATCAATATTGTTTTTTGGTTTCTTCTAAAGGGGATATTTTTCTCACCAATTGTCTTTTTCCTTGTCTCTCTCTGAAGTGGTTTAGAATTCAAAGAACTTGGGTACTAATTATTAGACCCCATTATAATCTTAGTATTGACCAAGTTTATAGCTGTAGTAAGCTTTAAATGAGATAATGCATATAAAACTCTTAGCACAATATCTGGAACACGGTAAGCACTCTACCATAACTGCTACTACAATAATAAAAGACTCGAAAATAAAAAAGGAAAAAGGACCAATTTTAAAGCATTTATCAATTCATTATAAACATCTAAATATGAATTCAAATGTAATGCTCTTTTTAAATACATCAATAAAAACAAGAAACGTCCACTCATTGAAAGAATGTAAGTTATCATTAGTTATAATACAGAATAACACACCTTTCTAAAGTCAGAACATTCTTTTTATAGCCTATAAAATGTTCAGTAACTATTTCATACAGAAAATGAAATATAATGTGCATCAGCAGAATGAGACAATGCTATAGCACATACTACATTTAGAATCAGTTTGATGTCTAAAAGTTTTAAGAGGAAATGAGCTAGTCAGTTTATTCTATCAATTTAACCACATTAGCAATATGCTACAAGCACATTCAAAAAACCTAAATAAAGATATACTTCATCTGATAAGAAATATATAAAATAGAAAACTGATTCTTTAAAGCAAGCCCAGGAAGCTCATTAACAGCAGCAAGATTAACTTGAAATCTATGGACCATCAGTTTTGCAAAACCCTTGAAATTATTTGTAAAATGTCACGCATGTGTACATGCGTATGTGGTTAAAATCCTCTACACTTATTTACGAAGGTTACCATTTAAAAAAGGTAAAGATAGTAGAGCATCATTTTACCATTCAAGTGATCACTCCCAATTTATCTATTTATTCAGACATTCTAGTAGGTTTTCTTACAGTATATTTTCAATCTGGATAACTTCAGTACATATTAACAAACTTTTAAATAATCAAAAATAGAATCTACAAAAAATAATCTACTTTTTACAAACAGCCACTTACCTTTTAAGTGTTCTTCTGATAGTTTTTCATTAACATGCGGTACTTCTACTGTTGTTTTCAAGTTCATTGTGTTATTTCCCCGTATTCCTTCAGTTGGTAGCTTTTCAAAAATGTTTTCAGTGCAATTGGTGTCATTCTTCAAACTGTTAAGTAGTTCCCAAAATGAAGCTGCTGCACACTTATCAAATGCAATGGGACTTTGGGGATTATGTTTTCCACTATTAACCTTCTTCTTCGGTGTTAAATTTCTAGAATATAATCTTTTACTAATGTGGTTTTTCCTTAAGAGGTTCTTATAAACATCTTTCCTCTTAATAGTTTTCTGCTTTGTTACCTTCTGTTTCTCAATGCATGTACAATTTATATTTTCTCTTTTGTAACAATTTTGATCTAACAATGGGCAAACAGGCTTACCCTGTAATTTATATCGGACTGTAGCAGATCCAGTAGTAGTAACTGCATCAAGATGATTTGAACCTTTAGAATACACTGCAAGCCCAGATGCAACTAACATATCTGCCAAATTGTTTTTCTCATTAATAACATCTACTTGCAGTTTTGTTTCAGAACTATATTCCTGAAACTGAAAAACTAAGCCTGGTTGACTCAGGAATTCTTGAAAAAAACTTTTGGCTTCTTCATTCCAATATTTTCCTTTAGCAGGTAAGATACCATATAAGATACAAGGATAACTTAGCCTTGGCAAATTCAAAAGTTCCTCAGGAATAACTTTAAGATTTTTTATATATGAATAAGGTATGTAAACGGAAAATCCATAGTCAATTAACACAATAAGTAAAGACTGGTGGGAGACTTCAGAAATTTCTACTCTATTCCACTGATCTTCCAATTCATATTTGAACAAACAACCAGAACCAGGAATTATGCGCTCTTGAGGTACTGTTTCTAAGTTTTCTGGAAGATCAGAAAGCAACGTAAAGAGAGATTTCATTGTGTCAAAGAAATCTTCTAACTGGACAGAGAAGTCTGATGGATCAGAAACAGCAGTGGCGATGCCAGAATATTGCCTACCATTTTGGAGTTGTGCCCAAGTAAATGATCTTATTGTACATGATGACACAGGAGTCTTAGATTTCAAGCTGAAAATAATTTCTGAAGATCTAAGTTTGTTTTCTTCAATATGAACTGTACTTAAATTTAAATATTCCAAAAGTAACAGGCCATCTACCAAAATTTCTACTTCCCAGGCAGAATCTAAATATTTCAAGAAAAGGATGTTTATTTCCGAACGAGCAAACAAATGCACAACGGACTCAAATGGCATGTTCCTAAAATTTTCAAAACAAATCCACTTACAAGGCACAGCTTGTCTTGGAATATTTCTGATTTCATTACTAAGCACCTTGGTATTACATAAAGGCACTATTTCATACCAACCACAGTCAACTAAAAAAACTAGCAGTGTCTCATCGACACACTTTTTTTCTACTTTCGATCGATACCATTTCGAAGTTTTTTTAGATTTCGCCAAACATTCTAAGCCTTTTTCAGTATTTTCCATTGTTAAGAAAGAGGGATTTTTTACTTCTTCAGTAATTAATACTGTTAAATCTGATAATATTTTTTTATTTTTAGATAACTTCACATAAAATGTTCCACTTTTTGAAACATGAAGTATTTCAGCTTTTTCAAGTTGTCCAGGTTTTAAGTGTTCAAAAGGAATATTAACCAGCTGTTGGCAGGATGGTTGAAGGACCACAGAACCATCATATTCATCTGATCTCCCCTTCTTCATTTCATGATCATCACCAGGGCTTACCTTCTGAGAGACAATCTGAGGCATTTGCAGTACTGTTTTCTGTAGCTTTGAACATGCTGTCCATTTCAGTAGTTCATTAATGACACATTTTTCATCACAAATTATATTTACTTCCCATTTCTCCTCATGCTTTTTCAAAAATTTGCAAGAAACTGTTTTGTTACTTACTCTTGAAGCAAAATAATCCACAGTTTTGCAGTCCCATATTTCATTAGGCTCATTCCACTTTACTCCACTAAGAAAAGAATGGATTCCTAGCTTAGGAATAGTTAAGAATTCTCTCTTAAGTTCATAAATTTTAGATGTGTTTACTACTGCAGTATTACCATAGTCAATAAATTCCACTTCAAAAGAATTTCCTGGCAAAATTTTCTTAATAACTGCTCTGTAAATGGCATTGTCAGTAGAGTATTCTGCAACTACAAGATCTCCCACCATATGTTTAACTGATTTTCTCTCATTCACTATATTTGCTCTTCTTTCATTTAGAGCATCTGCAAGTCGAATGATTACATTTTCATTCTCGGCAAGCTGAATATGGAAACTTGCTGGATTACTGATATTAGAAACATATCCTTTAACTTTGGCATTCAAGAAAATTTGAGGTTGAGGAAGGTCTTTGATCTGTGGTCTCATAAGATTATATGGGTTTTGTGAGGCCGCTTGATTTAATTCTCTGATAAAAGACTGTGACATAGCCCTTACTGATTTCTGGCCCACATCACTTTCATCAAGAGTATGTGCAGATCCAGAGACAATTTTTATACCTTTATTTTTAAGTCCATCATTCAAAGATTTCTTCACTTTGTTTTTTGACACAGGTTCGATTTTATAACAAACTGATGGTTTCAAAAGTCTGGCATATATACTTTTGGGATTCATTAATTGATCTATTTTACTTTCAGAATATGTTACTAGACTAGTGTTATTTATCATACTATGGTGATTGTTATTTTCTATTTTGCCTTTCAAAGAAACAGCAAGTCTCTTATTCTCATTTATTTTATGACCCTTTTCTACATAGTGTACTTGGTCACCATGTTTTTTTCCATATGCATGAAGCAACATTTTAATTTTCTGATTTATATGTTGATATCCATCATACAATTCTATACCAAGCTGGCCATCTGACTCCCTGGACAATATTATTGCCCTTAATGGTTTTCCTAAGAAATTATCTTCAAACCACCTATTGATTTCTGCTGGAATATCTACATCTCTAAGATCTGACAAAAAACACTTAATAGCTTGCATAGGTGTAAACAGCAACTCTGGAAACTGATCTGAAATAGCCCTCAACATACTTTCTTCTACTAGTTGCTTATTTCCAAAGTCTACAAAATAGACCAGAAAGTGAGATAACGAATCTGTTGGCATTGCTAAACCTCTATAAGAGAGACCATCTTCTATATATTTAGATATACACAATCCCATTTTACTAGAATATTTTGGACAATTTTTGAGGTTACTAATCTCTGTGATTTTTGTTTCTATCATCTCTAGATGTTTATTATTTCTACTAAGTTGGCAATAAAACTTTTGGGGACTATATATATGAGATATATATATTTCTTCCTCACTTCCAACTTTTAAGTTGAAGGAGGAATAACAGTAACTGTAAAGACTCACTGAAGATGGGAATGGCTTTGATAATGTACTATACTGTGCAGAGCCGTGACTAATAAGAAATTCTTTTGCACTAGTAAATGGAGCTTGTAAATCCACTAAATTACATAAATAGTTTGGATGTATAAGAACTAAAGCATAGATGACACAAGTCAATAACCCTCTAGATGAAGAAATAAAATTACCAAAGTCTCTGCATGCTTGTCTCGTCCAACTTAATAATTTACAACTAATGGGTTCGACTAAATGGTTAAGACTACATCTGAAGGCTTGACCTTCTAAAAAAAGAAAAAGTGGGTTAATACCACAAAGATCTTTAATTAAAACTCTTTCCTGGTAACCATAATCAACAAATACTATGTCAACTTCTTTCTTTGATGCTTGAGTCAAAACAGCAGCTCTGTACCATTTCCCATCTTTGGAATACTTAGCAACACAAGCAATCTGCCCAATCTGATAAGGATCAGAATGAATGCTATAATAATTCTGAATTTGTTCCATTAGTAATTTTAGGTCGTCTAACTTACACTGGAGCTGGCATGAAAAGTCACCGGGGCCACGATAATAAGAACACTTAACTTCAAGGACTGTTCCTGGTTTAAACATATATTCTTTATAAGGCCATGGTGACCCAGGTCCCACAGATAAAGTGAAAGGATTTTTTAAATTTGAGAAATTAACAGATGGGGACTTTAACAAAGACAAATTACTTTCTTTTAGCTTATTTGAATAATGCTTTTTAGGTGTAGGTCCTACAAGAAGGGCAGATAAGACCTTCTTGATACTAACTTTGTTTTTGGATTTTAAATTTAACACTGAATATTCACTTACGAATTTTGGGAAACATTCTGGTTCTACTTCCCAATATTCTGCATATCCGGCTTGTACCATAAGAGAGACAACATCAATATTTTCTGATGCTTCAATACTCTGAATATTGACAGTGTACTTGTCATCTTTTTTTGCTATAACTTGAAGCAAAATTGCTTTGTTCAAAACAATTTTTTTAAAATAATCAACTGCTGCCTTCACCCATAAATCTTCAACAGGAAATATATGTGCAAGTGAACAGCACATGGCTAAGGCAGGCAACTCACAAAACTCTGGAAGCAAAATTTTTACATCAAAAAATGGTATGGAATCAGTATTTCCATAATCCAAAAAATAAACATTAATCTTATAACCATTAATTTCAGTGATGACAGCTCTGTAAAAACATCTGTCCTTGCTGTATCTAGCGCAACAAAATAACCCAGGTTCTGGATTTCTTAGAATCAGTTCATCATTTTCACACAAATCATAAAATTTGTTTATATTTTTCATTATATCTTGAAATTCATTCTGATATTCATTGGTGCGTACCCAGAAATTGGATGGGTTTAATACATATGCTATGAAAGCTACATAGGCAGCTTCTGTTTCCATTTCTACAGTTTTAATAGGAAAATCTACTTTCAGGGTGTCTTTTTTATTTAGAGACTCTAGCAACCATTCAGTATTTCCAACAAAACTCTCAATTGCAAAACCATTTACATCAGAAGCACTAGTCTCTCTGAAAATATTAGAGATTTTTAAATCAGACACTGGACAAAGTTCTTGTGTGGCTACAGTCTTCAACAGACATTTAGAATTAATTGTAGACTCCAGAGTTTGTAATGTTACATAATATAAATGTTCATCCTTATTGAACCAATCAATATGCGCATATACTATCTGTCCTAACAAGGCTTGTTTAAATACACTCAATTGAAGTTTTCTTGCATCTCTATCTGGACTGTGTAAACATGTCAGAGAACATGGAAATGAAAATAACGGTACTAAAATAAAATCCTGTTTAAGTTTCTTTACATGAATTGAGGGTATAGCCTCACTACTGCCATAATCCATAAACCAAATTTTCACTTGATTATTGGGCAAGAGCTGCTGAAGAATTCCTCTATGCCACTGTCCGTTTATCCGTTTGGCAACACAAAGCAGTCCAAAATTATCACACATAGGACTACTTTCTTGACTGATAATATCATAATGTAAATTCATACATACTGTCAAGTTTTCTAACTCTGGAATCCATTTAATTAACTGACAATAAAATTTACTTGGGCTCAATGCAGATGATACTTTTACACTTTCAGTACTGCCTACTGACAAAGATGGCTGCAAATTATCCAGAATATGTTGGATATCAAGTAAAGTATCATTATTATTTAATGATAATTCAGGTCTCGTATGCTGTAATAAATCAGGCATTTGTTGTGGGAATTCTTTTAACATTGTCACAATAAGACGAAATGAATCCCCGTCAATAAGTCTTCCTAATTGTAATTCAAGAACTTGGGATATAATTTTTGGCACTTCAATTAGAATCATTTGAAGAGGCAAAATAGCTTGTATACAACCTTTCATTTGTAGTCCTACCAATGACTTGAAATAATTCAAAGCCTTAGAAGACCATTTTTCTCCAATTGGTAATATGTTGGCAAAAATGCCAACTACTACACGTGGTGGTAGTTCAAATACGGTGCCACAGGCTGAAGCAACCCGCATACTATCAACTCTTAGCTCTTCTCCGCGGTCTATGAGGAGCACCGTATAGAGTTCGTTTTTCTTTTCCAAAACTCTTCCTCTCTGCCATTCTCCAGACCCTCCTGCTGGTATTGCTCAAAAGAGTCTAGTTTGGTTTGGTGGTTTATTTCTTCTACCAAACAAAATTCATCAATGTCCACACTATTTTTTGCTTTTGGAATATGCTGTATTTCCCTCTGCAATATGTGGTAGTCAAACTCACATTCAATATTATTTCTGCCTTGAAATTTCACAAGAATATCCTTGGGAAGACATTCTATATGTGATATTGTCAAATCCACATCTAAAAATGTTGGTAATAGAGATGCAGAATCCATTTTCTAAAAAGCAAATAATAAGTACTAATCAGCTTCTGGACTAACAACTGTCAAAATTAAATGAAATTAGCCTATATAAATTTAGTATGCAAACATGAGCCTTAAAAATAATTCTATGCCTGTATTTATCAAAGTGAACATGTTAATAAAAATTATAAACACTGGAAAAGATGGAGAGAGAAACAAAATGCATCTAACTGTTCATTGCATTTCATGCTTTCAAAAAATTCTATAACCTAGAATAACCTAGAGAACATTAAAAACAGGGAGACTATACACTGTAAAACAAAGAAGAAACAAATTTCTACTAGATACAAATTTTCCAGAAACAAATTTCTACTAGGCATTAGACATGGTGTAACAAAAGGAAGCCAAATAAAGCCCACGGGAAAGCTCCTTCTCCTCCTGTGAGAAAACTACTTTCCCTCACGCAGACTTCTTCCGACAGCCCATAACTCAAAGGGGTGAGCAGTATAAGGAAGGGCAAATGGAGAACCAACAGAGGACACACTGCTTGCACTCCCCACTCTGTGTCAGTTAGCAATATTTAAACCCCATCAGCACCATCACACAACTCCAGGATTCTTCTTTGATTAAGGGCAGCAGGCTGAATCTTCGACAGCCCCAAGGAAAGCCAGGCATTGAAAGACCCTGAGGCAGGTCAGATATATCCAGGCCTTGTCACTGGCATGGCTGGTCACAAAAATTACGGAGGGAGGAGAAGGACAGAACAGAGGCAAAGCTCTCTACTATATGGCTCTGCTCATTTTCTCTAGATTGTTAAAATTTTTTAAATGGCAAGGCAAATATTCAAGAGCTATAAAATATTCTCCAAATTCAGGCAAGAACCAACATCTATTGTGACAGGACACAGCTCAACTCCTGTTTGACTCTGAGTTAACAGCTGACGATTATCAATTTCTTTTCACGAGGACAGGAAAGAGAAATTGGACCTAAAAAAAATGAGGGAACAACTTAAAGGAAACCAAGGAAATACTCCCCTGAGGAATAAACATACTGAAGGAAAAAGCAAAGAACTGTTTTTCAACAGTCTGATTCCTGTGTTCAAAAGATCAAAAGCAAATAATGAATTTTTATATGACTAAGTAGCTATTAAGATGCCACATCTGAGATTAGGAAGAACTACATACACATAAGAAATTTAATATTCCATGGGGAAAATTAACACAAAAGAAAAATAAATAAAGTAGAAGAAAATTTTGAGAGAATATTCCAAAATTCAGAAGAAAACAATAAAAAGATGAAAGAAGAGCATGGAGGACAGGAATATAAAATCTTATCAAAGTATAAATATTATCTCAGAGGTAAAATAACAGGAGACCTTTATAAGTCTTAAGACCCAACTCTACAAATTGAAATAGGCAACTGGAAAGCTAAAGAAAAAGATAAGATTTAGGAACATCTGGGTCCTGACTGTGGTTTTTATTTCATCCTAGATAATTAATTTGGTGTGCTCATCATCACAGTGCAGTCTGTAGAGATTCTGGGCTATGCTGACTCAATCCTGGAATCTCTAAAAATAAGATCAATGGGCAGCACACTAAAGACTTGCATTAGAACAATCCAAAACACTTCAGGACAAGAAAAGCCTTCTCAAGCCACCAATATTAAAGTCACAGGCCTTTACCCAATTTCCATACTTCAGTTTACTGCTTCAATGAATGAAGACCAGGTACTCAAGAAAGGATCCTGTGCTGGGTTATACCAAGAACCTTCCTTTCAGCATTCGCCAAAGGGTCACTGGCCACTCATGTGAGTAAATGAGAAAAGGAAAAAAATATATACAAGTCTTTCAGGAACCACCACTCTTTTTAAGTAGCCAGAAGAATTCCTTCATTAAATGAAGGTGGTATATGCAAGATAAGCCAAAGAAAGCCCAAAGACACAAGAACACTGCATGATCAGGTTTCTCAAACTACTAGAAGCCTACTCCTCTATCCTGCTATCCACCCCCCGACCCCAAGCAATACAAATGGCCTCATGAGGAATTTCACAGCAGAAGGGGGAAAAAATATGAGCCTGGTTTGCACATGCTCTCACCTTATGCCAGGAACCTCAAGAAACAGACTGCTGAAGCATTGCATCCCAACCCAGGGGATGCCTTGCCCGAGAAAAAACGTTAACGAGACTACCAGTTTGCCTACTTTCTCTGAAGAAAAAAACTGTATGTTAATTGGCAATATCTAATAGTTTCCGCAGGATGATTAGTAATTCTGAAGAAGACTGGAAGATTTATTCCAAAGAAGTCTGCAGTGAACTATGTGGATGAGCCTCTAAGAATTGACACATGAAAAGAAAATTTGTACGTCTCACGCGATGCTCACCAAAGGTCCTCACTATGGACCAGATCCTTTTTTAGGCAGACAGAATAACCTATTCTGTGGATGACCATCAGCCTCCACCTACTTCCCCAATGCCTGCTCAAAAGAATCATGAAAAGAGTTCCCAGTGTCATGGATAAAGCTCCTACCCTTGTATATCTGAAGTTCAGACTGTAACAACTCAGAAAAATTAGGGAGAAACATAAGCAGGAAATTTAAAACCAAACCAATTATTGTGTACTGTAGACAATTATATCATCTAAAGACAAAATTTTAAATCAAGATCTCCTAGATCCAAAAACCTTTACTCAATATTACATCCCTTAGAATATTACTATACTCACAGAAAGTACTTACTCTGTGTACACAAGACTGGGACATCAGGAAACGTGAGTTTTATTTGAGATGCAATTATGTGAAATTTGAGGAACTGTTTGTTTTTTCTTAGAATCAGAGTCTAAATCTGTAAAATGAGAGGGTTGAATTAAATTAGGGTTTTTCAACCATTCTTTTTACAGCAACAGCAGTAAAAATCCTTCTTATTCTAATATAAGCTGCAAAAAGTAAACAGAAAACATAAAACATCTACAAATTGCATTCATAAGCAGTGTTCTAATCATTTCATAAATGTATATAATTCACTTATTATAAAGTCAGTAAATGAGAATAAAACCATTCTGATGAATGCGGTCTTACAGCAGCTTCATCATATAATTTGCATTATTGTATTTGATAGCAAAGTACTGAGCAAATCAGGCTCAGACATATGTAGCAGCAGTTCCACTACTGCAGATGACCAGATACAGACAGCTTCGAATAATGAAATGGTAGTGCCACAACTTAAAAATAAAGTTAATCTGATGACACTAATTAGTACTCATCTCCGCTTTCAAATTTAGTATATCATATTTGAATGTTTTATTTCTTTTTTAAAAATAATACTCTATTTTAAGAAATTGAATTCCAATCAATAGTTCGCAAACTTCTGAAATTAAAATCAAAAATTTACAGAATCACAGTTCTCATAAGGTTTGATGAAAATACAATCTGACACTATTAAAATTGACATGAGAAGTGCTTCCTATATTAAAATCTCCTGATTCTATACAACACACATAATAGATGATGTTACTCTTATAAGTTTTGGGATCTTTCTTCTATGAATTACATCTAGTAAACCTAGACTAGTGGGGTCCAACAGAAATATAGTCGAGCCATATATTTATATATACGTATTATACATAATTTATATAATTTTAAATTTTCTAAAAGAAATTTAAATTTCTTTCCTTATATTAAGAGCTCCTTAACAATGCTTCAAAAAAATTTTAAAGATTTCAATACATTAGTTTAACTGATCTTCAATTTAAGACTGTGATTTTCAGATTTAAAAAAATGAAGATAAAAGAGACTCAAGACCTTGAATTTAGGTTTTCTGATTCAGTCCACTTCTCTATGTATATTACTCCCACTGTTTCACACTGATTTTTCAACTAAACAAGAACTAAAAGTGAAAGATACTAATCCAAAACCAAAAGTACAAACAGAAATAGGCACCCTTCTGGGTTAGAATCAGCTTATTAATTCTTCCTTTTTCAAAATTTAAGATGGTTCAGGTAAAACTCTGACTAGTCCTGATAAGGTTACCAAGTTCCAAAAGACTGATTCCAGTTAAGCATCTCTGCCCCAGTTTTCATCAGCCTACTTTCTCCAGATATTCAGAGCGGTTTCTGGATTCAAGTCTTTAAGGACACTGATATAGTGGAAATAAAACTGTTTAGAATATTTTTAATCTTCATATTTTAAAATCCGGGCTTCAATTTGTTAACATGTTTTACTGGCGTAGTCCTCAACCAGGGCAATTCTGTCCCACAGGGAACATTTGGCAATGTCTAGAAATATATGCTTGTCAAAACTGGGCCAGGATGGAGGTGGGGGTTGCTACTGCCATGTAATAAGTAGAGGCTGCTAAACATCCTACAATTCACAGAACAGCCTCCACCAAAAAAAAAGAATTAGCTAGCCCAAAATGGCAATAGTGCAGAGGCTGAGAAACTGCTTTACTGATCACAAAAGCAAGTATCAGACAGATAAAAGAACTAATTTTTTTAACTACCTAAAAGAATTAGAAGAAAATATGACAATTTTTTTCTAATCTTACATTAAAGAAGGCTTTCTTCAAGAGAAAAAAACCTAGAAGCTACCAACAATGGAAAATATTAAAAATTTTAAAACCACAGGCAAAAATATGAAGCTATAACAAAATTAAAATCAATATAATCTACCACACAAAAGATGTGCTCAGGCCAAATATCTTCAACGATCCTTGAGTCCACTTTTTTGCATCCTACACAACAATCCCACCAGGAAAACCAACTGGGTTCATCTTCAGAGCATATAAAAAAAATCTCACACTTTCTTCCACGTCTGCTGCTACAATCCTGGTCCAAACTCACTTCCTCGGTCAGCCATAATACCTAATGTTACTAATTTGTCTTCCTACTTCTATCCTTAACCCCACCCCGTCCTTACCCATGACTATTCTCAGCTCAAAAAAATCAAAAGCTCCTCGTTTTACTCAAAGTGAAAACTAAAGCCATCATAATGGCTTATGACGTCCTACAGGATCTAAGAACCCCCACCACTACCAGGACCCCC